TACCTTTACGGCTGCAGAAATTTCTGTAGTTATTTGGCTCATTTCTTCTGCTGGTGTACCGCTCCTGGCTGGTTGAAGCTGAAAAGTCTACCTCGCTTTCACTGCTCGAAATTTTTTCGAGCCTTGTACGCTGCCTGGTTTGAATTGCTGACGTCGGAGTTTGCGAAATTCGTTGATCGATACAGATCGAATCACAAATCGGACAAGTTCTCTTGACTCCCAAATGTGTCCTTAAGCACGCTTTATGGAAGACGCTTTATGGTTTTATAGCTATCGACTGCCCCAATCTCAGAGCTACATAATCTACACTCAGAACTAGGAGGAGGTCCCTCTTTTTGAGTATATATTACTTATTATTATTATTTTTTTTTTCTTTTACTAATAATGAATAAGGTAATACTAAAAGGATAAATATTAAAATATATAATAAAAAAAATTATTTTTTTTTTTCAAATTAAAAATAGGTTTTGATTTCCACCACGCACTTAGCAACGCTGCCTATTAACGTCCGTCTTGACAAAAATTTTGATAAAAAATAAAGAAGCAGACTTGAATCAAGCAATGATTTGTGGACATGAGGCCTTATGTGTAAATATAAATCTTCATGTTCTCCGTGCAAATCTATTGCTCGATTTTACTTAGGGAGGTGGTTCTCATCAGAACTTTTTCCGTGGTCACGAGCTCCACTTTAAAGTAGAGTCAACGCGCATTCCATGCGTCTTACCACTAACCATACAGCATATAGACAACCCATTTCATACAACGAAAATGGATGCAAAAATTTCTTGCGACAGGCCCCAGCAGGCCCCAGAGCGGATTTCTTACGCTCTCTTACGCTCATCGTTCGTTCATCTTACGCTCATTCTCTCATTAAACGTTTTCTGTTTCTCAGTCTCTAAAAGGAGCGTGGTTGATCTTCGTATGTATGCGTGTCACACATTCACATACATGGGTGTATGTGTGCGTGCGATTTCGTTTCGAAGCCAGCGCACAAAATTTGGATTTTTCTTACTTTTCAGGCTTGCTACCCTAACAAAATTCGGGTATTCGTTATTTGATGAAATGACGAAAGAAATTATATTATTTTTATACCCTTGCAGAGGGTATTATAATTTTGTCCAAAAGTGTGCAACGCAGTGAAGGAGACATCTCCGACCCTATAAAGTATATATATTCTTGATCAGGATCACCTCCTGAGTTGATATGAGCATGTCCGTCTGTCCGTCTGTCCGTCTGTCCGTCTGTCTGTCTGTCTGTCTGTCCGTTTCTACGCGAACTAGTCTCTCAGTTTTGAAGCTATCGTCTTGAAACTTTGCACACACCCTTCTTTTCTTTGCACGCAGTATATAAGTCGGAACGGCCCGGATCGGTCGACTATACCCTATAGCTGCCATATAACTGATTGATCGGAAATGGTATAACTTTGGTGTTTTTAGAGTTAGAGAGTTCAAATTTGACATGAGAGCTATTTTTGGCAAATTATTGTGACATGCCAAATTTCATAAGGATCGGCCGACTATATCTTATAGCTGCCATATAACTGAACGATCGGGAATGACCTAACTTTCGTGTTTTTGAAGATAGAAAGCTGAAACTTAATACAGATTCTATTATTGGCCAGTTGATCCGACCTACCAAATTTCATTAGGATCGGTCGACTATATCCTATAGCTGCCATATAACTGAACGATCGGAAATGGTACTTGGTAGAAATATCAACTTTCGTATTTTTGATAGAAGTTTGGGACTTATTTTAGATTTTAGATTTTATTAAATTGGTTTTATTATGATGTAATCATAAGGATCGGCCAACTATATCCGATGTTTGCGATATATATCCGGTTTTAACTGCAAGGGTATATTAACTTCGGCTCCGCCCGAAGTTAGCTTTCCTTTCTTGTTTATATTATATTTTTTATTATTTCAGCATACATTTTTAATTTATTTAGGAATAAGATTGAGTGTTAGTAGTAAAATGTTTTCTGTTATATATAAAATGTTATATATTTTTACGAATCATTAAAAATCAATATACTGAGAATATGTCAGAGTATATTTCAGTCGGAGTCACTTAAAACGCCGATTGCTTTTAAGTTTTTGTTGTTCTGCAAGAGGCTTGTGCATGCCTACTCTAACGATGGAATGATTTTTAGTGGAGGGTGAAGACACGAAAACAGCTGATGGACTTGTTTACCTTTTTTGTTTACAATTTTTCAGGCACTTGTTATTATTTTGGGTTATTGTGAGATTTAATTAAATTATTGTCGTTAATTTAATAATTTCCTTATATATTTTGGAACTTTTAAAAAGTCGCCGCTCGAATTTGTTACAGATATATACATATACATATATATATATATATATATTCACATTGGTTTTCTGATACCTCTTGCAGAACAACAAAAACTTAAAAGCAATCGGCGTTTTAAGTGACTCCGACTGAAATATACTCTGACATATTCTCAGTATATTGATTTTTAATGATTCGTAAAAATATATAACATTTTATATATAACAGAAAACATTTTACTACTAACACTCAATCTTATTCCTAAATAAATTAAAAATGTATGCTGAAATAATAAAAAATATAATATAAAAAATAATATAATTTCTTTCGTCATTTCATCAAATAACGAATACCCGAATTTTGTTAGGGTAGCAAGCCTGAAAAGTAAGAAAAATCCAAATTTTGTGCGCTGGCTTCGAAACGAAATCGCACGCACACATACACCCGTGTATGTGAATGTGTGAGATCAACAAAGATCAACCGAAGCGCAGGCCAACCTTCTTCATCGCGAGAATGAGCGTAAGATGAATGAACGATGAGCGTAAGAGAGCGTAAGAAATCCGCTCTGGGGCCTGCTGGGGCCTGTCGCAAGAAATTTTTGCGTCCATTTTCGTTGTATGAAATGGGTTGTCTATATGCTGTATGGTTAGTGGTCTTACTTAGCTCTTGAAGAATAACCAAAAGGTTAAGGATAAAAAGAGGAAAAGAAAGCTAAAATAAAAATAATGGGCAGCTTTTACTGAGGCTAAATGGTCAATAGCCAGCTGTTAGCAGCTAAGCGACTAATTCCAATTCTTATGTCTCAGGTAGCCCACCACTTTTCTTTCTCCACCAATTGTCACTTTCGAACCCACATGTCACTGGAAAAGATATCCGCCTAAGGCTGAGCATCCTGTGCTCCAAATCACGATCCAGAACCAAAAATGACAAACGATACCAAGAAACTAGATAGTTGCCGATGAAGTAAGTGATGCTGCCTTTACTGACACCTGACCCAATTAATCGTTCAGGAGAAAAATAAATAAATTTAGGGTATAAAAAGAAACAGTTACGGTCTAAATTGTAGTGAGTTTCCTAGACTTAATATCCTTTCAAAATGTTCTAATAAAATCTAGCTTCAACGTTGGTTTGGTAAAATGGTTTATTAATACTAAAATGGACATGATAAAATTTTCTGGGTTTTACTTTGTTTCTTTACATCTAAGATTTTGAGCAAAATTAAGTAATGAGGAAAAATTATATAAATATTTAAATATGTGGTAAAAAAATGGCTTAGATATATAAAAATGGGTTTTCAAAAACAAAACAAAATATAATTTATCATCAATTAAAGGGTATATTGATGATAAGTGGTGGGCAAACTTTCATTTTACATAGCATAGGCACACTGAACGTGTGAGCACTCTCAATTTTTTTTAGAAGCTCTCTCATTTGCTCTCATTTGGATTCATTTGACAGCTGAAACTAAAAACAAAACTTTCCACTGAGAAAAATTTTCTCAGAAATTGGGTTGGAAAAAGTTTTGCTTCATGGTGAATATAGAATCTATATTCTATAATCTTTTAAACAAATGAAATGTTGCTAGCAAAGCTTTTTATACCCTTGCAGAGGGTATAATAATTTTGTCCAAAAGTGTGCAACGCAGTGAAGGAGACATCTGTCCGTCTGTCTGTCTAGTTCTACGCGAACTAGTCTCTTAGTTTTAAAGCTATCGACTTGACTCGACCCTTCACACAGGTTATGGTATAACCTTGGTTTTTTTAGAGTTAGAGAGTTCAAATTTTACACAAGAGCTATTTTTGGCAAAACATTACGACATGTTAAATTTCATTTCAAATTTCATCCGCCGATCCTATAGCTGCCATATAACTGAACGATTGGAAATGATCCACCTTCCGTGTTTTTGAAGATAGAAAGCTGGAATTTAGTACAGATTCTATTTTTGGTCAGTTGATCCAATCTACCAAATTTCATAACGATCGGCCGACTATATCTTATAGCTGCCATATAACTGAACGATCGGAAATGGTATTTGGTAGAAATACCCACTTTCGTAATTGGTTAATTGGTTTTATTATGATGTTATCATGGGGATCGGCCTACTATATCCGATGTTTACTAAAGATATCCGGTTTTAACTGCAAGGGTATATCAACTAAGGCTCCGCCCGAAGTTAGCTTTCCTATCTTATTTTTAGATCAGTGGTCGGCACTCCAATACATTGATATGATTTTAACGCATTAGAGTTAGTAACGAATAGCAGAAAGTAGGCTGTGAGCATGACGTTTCACACATTTGTGTGAACTGTGTGTGTGTAGCAGAGCTCTAGCAGAGAAATTTCCTATGCCCTCGGGATAGGGACGTGCCGACCACTTTTTTAGATGTTTTATTGTAATTATTTGATTATTATTTTATTATTTATTTAAAATTATTATTATTATTCGAAAAAAAATTTTAACTTTAAAACTTTAACAAAAAAACTAAAACTTTATTGTAAAAGTATTTTTTGGTCAGTTTGACCAATAGCTCTGCCTTATTATGCGTGCAATAAATAATGTCTTCGCCGATTTCTTCGACACTTTCCGTCGCATCGTTTTACTTTTTTTAAATTAAAAGCAATGTATTTTGTTTAACGAATATTCAGTTTGCTTTAAACTTGAAATCTCACACTTATTTTTTCATGAGACATATATTTATTTTTATTTTTCAGGGACCTGTGTTACCAGGAAGTCCAAAATCTATTGTTTCCGGAAACGTTTTGAAACTGGTGTCGCCCCATAGCGTGTCTAGTGGTAAGATAATTATGAAAAATTCAAATATTTTACAAATGGGCAAAGTAACATCAAATGTCATAGGCGGTAAGCCAGCATTTGTTATAACAAATAAGCAAGGGACCCAGATAACAAACCAACAGATAATAATAGTCACTACCGGTAACACCGTAAGGACCATTCCATCTAGTACTACTGTGAGTACTGCAGGTGGGACGACAACTGGAACAAATATTGTAAGTCTTGTGAGCTCAACATCTACAACCAATACCCCTGCACCAGGAGCTGGTGCTCAAAGACCTTCTATACCCAACCAGACTGGTTTAAAGATGCTGCGAAATATATCACCTGTACAAACACCAACATTAATGCAGAAAGCAAGTGGTACTCCACTTCAACAAAAAACATCACTTTACATTGGGGGTAAAGCTGTGACTGTCATGAGTACTAATACCAATATGACTACTGCTGGCGCTATACCCAATAAGGTAGTGGTGTTTCCTGCTTCAACAGCCGTCACTGCTGCCACTTCATCGACATCTCTAAGCGCAAAAAAGAGTTTTGTGTTTAACACTGAAGGCAATCCACGTACCGTGACATTGACTTCAAAAAATTTGCCGACCAAAATTTTTCCTTCAACGCACGCAACGAAGGAAATTGCATCCGAAACACCAGTTACTATTATCAGTATGAAAGAAGCAGATCCCATGGACGATATCATTGAGCAGCTGGATGGAGCTGGTGATTTGTTAAAACATCCGCAGAATGAGGCGCAAACAGAATCAGTTGAAAACACAAACAACGAAAACGCAGCATCGGCTTTATCGGCAGAACCCTTATCGACGTCCGAGTCAATTGTCCAACCCTCAAGTGTCGAATTAATTGATGTTTCAAATGACCCAAGTTTTAAAGAGCCGAATGAAATTATTGAAGATATCTCAGGAGTAAGCAGCACAACTGACGTTAAACAAACAGAAAGCTCAAAAATTAATAATCCAAAATTCGAACCTACTACTGAAAGCGATAAAAGCTGTTCACATTCTATGGTAAGTACAGTAATTTAAACAAATAAAACACAAAAATCAGAAGAATAAAAAGTAAAAATATATTGTATGGTTTTTTTGCTTGTCTTATACGTGTGTTTTTATACCCTTGCAGAGGTTATTATAATTTTGTCCAAAAGTGTGCAACGCAGTGAAGGAGACTTCTCCGACCCTATAAAGTATATACATTCTTGATCAGGATCGCCCCCTGAGTTGATATGAGCATGTCCGCCCGTCCGTCTGTCCGTCTGTCTGTCTGTCTGTTTCTACGCGAACTAGTCTCTCAGTTTTAAAGCTATCGATTTGAAACTTTGCACACACCCTTCTTTCCTTTGCACACAGTATATAAGTCGTAACGACCGGGATCGGATGACTATATCCTATAGCTGCCTATATATAACTGATTGATCGGAAATGGTATAACTTTGGTGTTTAGAGAGTTCAGAGAGTTATAGAGTTCAAATTTCACATGAGAGCTTTTTTTTGGCAAAATAATACGACATGCCAAATTTCATAAGGCCGACTGTATCCTGAACGAAAGGAAATGATCCAACTTTCGTGTTTTTGAAGATAGAAAGCTAGAACTTAGTAAAGATAGTAAAGATTATATTTTTGGTCAGTTTATCCGACCTACCAAATTTCATAAGGATCGGTCGACTATATCCTATAGCTGCCATATAATTGAACGATCGGAAATGGTTTTTGGTAGAAATACGAACTTTGGTATTTTTGAAGATAGAAGGTTGGGACTTTTTATACCCTTGCAGAGGGTATTATAATTTTGTCCAAAAGTGTGCAACGCAGTGAAGGAGACATCTCCGACCCTTTAAAGTATATATATTCTTGATCAGGATCACCTCCTGAGTTGATATGAGCATGTCCGTCTGTCCGTCGGTCCGTCTGTCTGTCCGTCTATCTGTCTGTCCGTTTCTACGCGAACTAGTCTAGTCAGTTTTAAAGCTATCGTCTTGAAACTTTGCACACACCCTTCTTTCCTTTGCACGCAGTATATAAGTCGGAACGGTCCGGATCGGCCGACTATATCCTATAGCTGCCATATAACTGATTGATCGGAAATGGTATAACTTTGGTGTTTTTAGAGTTAGAGAGTTCAAATTTGACATGAGAGCTATTTTTGGCAAAATAATACGACATGCCAAATTTCATAAGGATCGGCCGACTATATTCTATAGCTGCCATATAACTGAACGATCGGAAATGACCCAACTTTCGTGTTTTTGAAGATAGAATGCTGGAACTTAGTACAGATTTAATTCTTGGTCAGTTGATCCAACCTACCAAATTTCATTAGGATCGGCCGACTATATCCCATAGCTGCCATATAACTGAACGATCGGAAATGGTATTTGGTAGAAATATCAACTTTCGTATTTTTGAAGATAGAAGTTTGGGAAGTATATCCGATGTTTGCGATTTATATCCGGTTTTAACTGCAAGGGTATATAAACTTCGGCTCCGCCCGAAGTTAGCTTTCCTTTCTTGTTTTTTAATAAATTAAAAAAAATTAGTATATAAAAAGTTAAAAAACACTATACCTTGAACCACTGTGCCAAATAGGAAGCCGAAGCGGGAGCTTTGGAGAGTGCAAAAGAAAAATGCAGAAATAGAGATAAGACGGGGAAGAAGCAGAGCTGAGCTATGCTTGGAATTGAAATTATTGAAATTATTAATTCGACTCCAAATATACCACAGCACTCGCGAAGCGATACGGTTTAAGCTTAAGATTCTTAAGATTCTCAATATATTCAATTCACAAATGAGTAAACACCGGTTTACCAATATTTATCATAAACGCAGTGCGCGCAAAAAAAACACGACCGTTCGCTTAAGAGAAAGAGAGGGAAGTATTCTTCGTCAGTTTTACTTTTTCAACATTACGCCACAGTCGCGATGATTTTAAGCAAGCATTAATTTATTTAGCGTACGATGAACGTGAAATAACGAACAGAGTTTGTCTGGAATCACCTGAAAGGAGTATCTAAGAGCCGCCAAATAGTTTATCATTGTTTTTTAACAAGCGAATGTTTACGTGCCATAGTGCATTCATCAAAAATAATTATTTTACATTGTTTTAGCACTATACCCATTAAAGATGGTTTTTTTATGTTTCACACTGCATCTGGATTATTTTGAATGTTCAATGGCAGCTAAAGTGCTGGATGAGCTGTTCTACCTTCATCTAATAAAGTTGCTGCAATGGCCAAAGCGATGCCATTTTTATACCCTTGCAGAGGGTATTATAATTTTAATTTTAATTTTATTTTTAATTTTAATTTTAATATATTATAATATATAATATATTCTTGATCCGGATCACCTCCTAAGTTGATATGAGCATGTCCGACTGTCTGTCTGTCCGTTTCTACGCGAACTAGTCTCTTAGTTTTAAAGCTATCGTCTTGAACTTTGCACACACCCTTCTTTCCTTTGCACGCAGTATATAAGTCGGAACGGCTCGGATCGGCCGACTATATCCTATAGCTGCCATATAACTGATTGATCGGAAATGTTATAACTTTGGTGTTTTAGAGAGTAAGAGAGTTCAAAGTAAGAGAGTTCAAATTTTACATGAGTGCTACTTTTGGCAAAATAATACGACATGCCAAATTTCATAAGGATCGGCCGACTATATCTTATAGCTGCCATATAACTGAACGATCGAAATTGACCCAACTTTCGTGTTTTTAAAGATAGAAAGCTGGAACTTAGTACAGATTCTAATTTTGGTCAGTTGATCCAACCTACGAAATTTCATTAGGATCGGCCGACAATATCCTATAGCTGCCATGTAACTGAACGATCGATAGAAATACCAACTTTCGTATTTTAGAAGATAGGAGCTTGGGACTTTTTTTTTAGACTTTTTATTGTAATTAATTGGTTTTATTATGATGTAATCATAAGAATCGGCCAACTATATCCGATGTTTGCGATATATATCCGGTTTTAACTGCAAGGGTATATCAACTTCGGCTCCGCCCGAAGTTAGCTTTCATTTCTTGTTTAAAAAAGATGTTGGTGCCTCGGGTATTGCGTAGTAAATATATATACAGTAGTGGCTACAAGTTTAGCACACTATGCTTCGCCAAACTTTAATGAAAGATAATTTCGATTCTTCAAGGACTTGATCCTTGATTCTTTTACGGACGGCTAGGTTTTCATATTGAGAGTACCTATGGTTGTTTCTATCGTCCTAGCCTTTTATGTCTTCCTGCCGCAGGACCTTAAGGGGGGACATCTGAGTAACAGGCCAAAAAAAAAAGCGGATTTTCTCGAATTTTTTTTGGCCAAATCAAAACAGCTAATCGAAAATTTGTAAATGAGGTTTTATTATATTATATTTAAAGTACAAAAAAAATTTTTTTAAATAAATCGAAAACAAAATGGCGGCTCTGCAGCCTTTATTCGTAGACCCTATTTTTATAAAGGGGGTACATGGCCGAACACCTAACGTCCTTAATTTTTGATCTAGAACAAAAAATCAAGTTTGGTTAGTTTCTGGATCTCAACGGCTATCGACACACGTAGGATTTTTTCGATATATTGATTTTTTGCAAAATAGTGAGTGATTGACCAAAATTTTCAATTTTCACAAACAAAAACCTCACAAAATTGTTGATAATCCTACGTGTGTCGATAGACATAGGTATTCTGAGTATACTGTCAAAATTTTAGATCGATAGGTTAAGAGTTGTTCGAGTTATGTGTTCGGCCAACTCAAAAAAAGCGGTTTCGAGAAAAACGCGTTTAAAGTTTTAAGTACTGTGGGATATACCTGTGAGGCATCGCCGCAGAATGGAAAATTTCGACACTTAGACACTTTGGCCGGACTCTATCTTTTTATATGTTATTTTCAAGACCCTAAAAAATTTTTAAAGCGAAAAAAAAATTTTTCGATTTTTTCAAAACTCTACTCAGATGTCCCCCCTTAATGTGTTTTCCTAAATTTATAGTTCGTAGTGGAACCCAAAATTTTAAAATCATCTTAACATCATCTCAGTTCGTAGTGGAATCCGCTGTAAAAATGTCTATAAGTGCGGGTTCTACGGCATTTTGGCTGGCCGCGTCGTGGAACTCGCTTTCAAATGTTTTCATTTTTTCTGTCGTGGAACCCGCTCAACCAAAAATATAATCTGTATTAAATTCCAGCTTTCTATCTTCAAAAACACGAAAGTTGGGTCAATTCCGATCGTTCAGTTATATGGCAGCTATAGGATATAGTCGGCCGATCCGGGCCGTTCCGACTTATATACTGCGTGCAAAGGAAAGAAGGGTGTGTGCAAAGTTTCAAGACGATAGCTTTAAAACTGAGAGACTAGTTCGCGTAGAAACAAACAGACAGACGGACAGACGGACATGCTCATATCAACTCAGGAGGTGATCCTGATCAAGAATATATAAACTTTATAGGGTCGGAGATGTCTCCTTCACTGCGTTGCACACTTTTGACCAAAATTATAATACCCTCTGCAAGGGTATAAAAATAATAATTATAAAAGAAAGAAAAAGTTCATAGGCCTTACGAGGATTTGAACACAGAAAAATTATACATTGAGTAAATACTCTATGCATTACGCTACCACCCTGTCTCGATCTGCGACGATTAAAAATACTATTTGTTCTACTAACTACCACATTGGCGCATTGAAGACGGAAACGAGAAATTGAAATTTGCAAGCCAAAACCTTTTTACGCCTTTTTACGCCAACAAAGTTGATCGTTTTGGGCCCTGATGTCCCATGTATGTACTTTATAATCTTTGGTAGAATGCAAGCAGAAATGCTCGACAAAGTGACGCAAAATTTGGCCTTCCGAATAGACCACTTGAAACGGAGCCGTAGACAACATTTACATAAAGCGATTTTTAAAACGTAAATGATAAAGGCCAATTTGTAAATTCCAATAAAATGGAATTCTATGATGGAATTGAGCTATGATGCAGTGTTGTATTATATTATATTATATTATATTATATTATATTA